CCATGAAACCCTTATTATGGAATCAGTCCTGAAACCTAATACTTCATGAGACACAGAGCCAAAATATTTTTCAACTAGGTCAACCCTTGAGGTTATCAAGCTCACTTTTTAAAATCATAATGATATAATAAACGAACTTCAAAGTTAAGATTGGAGTTTGGTTCATCTGTCTTGCTCAATATTCAAATGAGCTAGTTAATTTGGAGCTCAAATCATATCATTGACTAAAAAATGTCTCAACTCCACTAGCACAAACGTGCACTTTGAATGTGTTTGCTTAAGGCCCGTTTGGCAAGTGTTTTGTTTTAGACGTTTTGTTTTTGACTAAAACAGAAACAGTGTTTTTGCTATAGGAGTGTTTTGGAAAAAAAAATCAAAAGTACGTTTGGGAACGATATTTTAATGTGAAAATGTCGGAAACTGATATATACAAAACATGTTTGGTAGGTTATGCGTTTCAAAAATGCCTAAAAAAATTGCTCCCAACTTTTCTGAAAAATTCTATGTATCTTGCTAAAGGGAGGATACAAGATGTCTCAGCTGACTCCTTTCTAACCCTTGCAGAGAAGGATTGACATGATTTGAGACAGTGGAAGCCAATACTGATGGTTATTTCCCCACATTTGGTCATCCACTTTAACTGCAATGCCTTAGCCGCAAACAACCCTTCATGATTTTGCTCAACATCAACAATTCGAGTCCCGTTTTTCTACACATGTCCCCCATTGTTTTCATGAGCAATCTCCATTCATACACGATGTCGCTTTCCCTGTAGTATCTTTCATCTCTCGAGCAAAATCCAAATGATAACCCTAGATTCAATTATTTCAGCTCTGCTTCCAAAAACACTACACACCAACAATCCTCTTCAAATCAACCAATTCGCAAACCCTAGATTAAAAAAAAATCCCCCCAATATCAATCAACAAACCCTAGTTCCCTCAAACCGGCGGGCATTGATTGATTAATCTTATATTCTATTGATTGATGATCTCATTTCTAATTTGCAAAATCAATCACTTTCTCTCTCATTCTCGAGTCACATTGTGATCCAAAAACAACATTAGATGCTCCGAGTAAGCAACTTTCACAAAAAATACATGAAACTCTGACCTCCTTCGAGCACAATAGCTTCGATAGGTGTTGTCTTTGAGCAAAACCAGCAAATCTAGGGCTTAACTTCGAACGGTGATGGTGAAATCTGAAACCGCCCTTGAATCGCCAGAGACATAATCAGGAGAGGAGAGAGAAAAAGTTGTCCAAAATGACCTTAAATGTTTATATACCTAGAGCAAGTATGTTTTGAGTTGAGCTGGGTGTTTCCTCCGTTACAGTGAACGTTATTGAAATGTTAAAACATCATTTTGGTGTTTCAGTTTTTTTGACTTTTTTATTGAAATGTTTTACAACTGTACAAATCAAAACAGAATCAACTAAACATGTTTAGGCCTCATTTGGGCTACTGTAGCGAACCTGCAACAAAAACAACAAAAACAAAGCAGATACCAAACAAGGCCTTGTACCAAATACAACTAAGTGGAGGGTTCCACTTCCTTATTTATTACATAATTGGCCAATTAAAAGAGTATGTCTAACAATTCACTGTAACTATTTGGTGCAAGAATCATTTTCCTTCTCATATATGATCAAGAACTAGGTATTCAAGTTACTGAATTGAAATCCAAGGGGATAGATAGCCTAAAGCACGACTCTCACCTCACATCCTCAAGATAGGGAGTTTGAATTCCCTTGAAGCGGTCCCATGAAAATTTTCTGATAAATTATTCGGTGCCCGTTGGTGGTCCATAAGTTCTTTAAGAAGTTCGACACCAACATCACCTCGCACCAACAAAAAGTTTGACACTGCCATCACCTCAGACCATAAGTTCTTTAAGAAATTCGACACCAACATCACCTCGCACCAACAAAAAGTTTGACACTGCCATCACCTCACACCAACACAAGGAGAAAAAACATTACTGAATCATGACCCTACCCAGATTTTGGATTGCATCCCTTTAGTTATGTATTTGATACCCAAATCATGACCCTACCCAGATTTTGGATTGAATATCATGAGGACTGGTCGGTCAAACAATGGATATGAAAATTTTGAGTATAGCTGGAATAGTGATACTCAAGCCGAAGAGTTGCAGTTAATTGCCTAACCGAATGATTTTGATTGGTTATTTATGCAAAACACAAATAAGTAGAGGATCTCTCCCCCTTATTTCTTACATAGACGACCAATTAAAAACATACTGCAGCTACTCTAAAAATCATATTCCGTATAGCCGTCATCATTTTTTGCATTAAAAATATAACTTTAGAAAGTAGATCCAGTCCAAGTCTGTTGTGGGCTTGCTCCCTTCCAAGTTCCTAGACTACTTTAAACTTGGGAGTAATGCCGTCAACAGAGAATCATAACATATCATGAACTTCTTGTCTTGCATGTTCTTCAGTCTTGCATCAAAGCAACATCTGATCGTTTATTTTTTTTCCTACAAGATTCAATGATTGATTATAACATATATCAATTCAAGCCTATTCCTTCAATATTCCATTGCACAAACAGTCCTTACACAAATTCCTTTTGCACACAACAGAGACCACGACAATTCCAACAATGAGAGTCCCAGAATACAGACTACTTTCAGGTTAATCATCAAGGTCTTCAATTACTTCCATCCATTCTTTAGGCAAATGGAGACCTACAAAAATGTCCATCGCAGCTTTTCCAGGGCATGACATCGATACAGGTACAGAATGCGTTCAACATACCAATGTAATGCGCCAATGTTTACCTATCACGCTGAATAAACAGATCATATTCCACCAGAATAAAGAAAAACACTTTCGCATGTCCTTAAAATTGGGGGAGTAAATGATTCAGACAGTTAGATACATATATCCACGAGTCCATGCAACACCAGCTTCTGCAATTGCAAAATAAGCAGAAGCCAAAATTCGTCCCCTCAAAATGACTGGACTTTAACACATACAACCCGAGAATAAGTGCCACCCATCCTACCCGCTTTGAGACCACTAAATCTTCAGTGTGTCAAGATTCACCAAATTCAAAAAGTATATCGAAGACACCAGATCAAGAACTTAGCACATTAACAGGCAGATTGTACTTAACAAATTACCCTGCACTCCATAATGCAAGTTAGCATAGAGAAGTACTTTTGTCTTTATGGATATATGCAGAGCAACTTTAAGAAAATCTAAATATACAAAAAGGGGTATGGTGAAAATTAATGATACCAATATGTGAAGGGTTAAAATCACTAAACCCCCTTTTACTACATGTTTCTCATATAACCTCCTAAGCTAAAATACTCAATGGTCATCATTAAAATAGTTAAAGGCAAAATTAGTAAACATCCATACAGACGGGGCTTAAAATTCAACATGAAATCCATTAGACATATTAAATCCTCTTTACAAAATCAACAGAATCATTTAAATCACATCCAAATTTATGGGAATTAAATATTAAATGTGTCTCGGAACATCGTAGAATAGTTGTAAGCCACCACTCCTGTAGCTGCATCTGTTATGTTATGCCCATAGAACACGCGTCTGTTAAACATATATTGTTATGGATATGGCTTTCTTTACTTAAAAACCTTAGTATCATCAAAGGAGTAATGAAATAGAAAATGTACCCAAAAAGATTTAGAAACATGAGCTAAAGAAAATGGATTTTTATAAATATTTACTAATAATGAAGAAAAAGCACAAAAGATTTCAAACTCGATCCTGTCAAATCTCCTTCAATCCAAGAAACTTGTACATTCATTCAGCTCAAGTGTATATATCTACGAAAATCATCAAAATGTATTATTTCATTCATAACCAATGTAACAAAGAGAATAAATTCAAAATTTAAGGCAGACATAAGATCATGGTATATCTACACTATAGCTCAAAAATGTAGCAAAAGCCAAAAGTGTTACCAGAATATATTTGTAACCTTGCATCTCGCTCCCAGATCACACCATCTGAAAAGTGGCACTTTCATTTAAAACATCAAATAAAGCAATCCATGACAAATCTTCTCATTTCTTCCCTCATTAGACCTCTATATATTGCAATATAAAGAATAATGAATTGGAACCAGTTAGAATGTAAACTAGTGGAGCAACTGGGAAAGGGAAATGGCGATAGCACCGCAGAACATCATGCACTCAGCATGTGTACATTATGTGCTTACATGGCTAAATAACATGTAACTAGCAACCACAAGTAATTTTAAAACTACTCCCTTAAAGTACAGGATATATAACTACCAGTATACTTCACAACCACACAATCTCAGTTGAGCTATAAACCACAATCTGTTTTCTTACTGGAATTCCAACAAAGTAAATGCATCTGCATTAAATTATAGTTGGAAGATCAAAGTGGACATGAATCAAATAATGGAACCTTAAATATATGACGACCACAGTTCATACACTTGAACTTTCGACTTTAATAACAGCTTCAAGTATCTAAAATTCCATTTCTACAGATCTCATACCATTCCAAAGATGGCGAGATCAAGGTTGGGGATTAGCCAGCCCACATAAACTATTAAGCCAACCATCTTTGCTAATTACTACATCCAATTTACCAAACATGTCAATTTTATGTCATAAAAACACAAGGGCAAGATAGCGAGTGCATAAAATCAAAGTTGTGTCAAAACATCCACCAATATCACCAGATAATACCCACTACCCTTTAAACAAAGTGACAGTAATTCAGAAATTTGCAGGCAACTATGTAATTTGAGTCAAACATATGGTATATATGCCAGTCTACTGATAAACAATGAACTACAACCAATACTTCCTAAATTAGACATCTAAAAGCATATACATCAATATTAGAATTAATTTGAACACACATTTCCCAATAATGGAACATAATGTGTAACCAAAAATGTTATTTACCTACAAAATATATAATTGAAAACATTGTACACAAGCAATAAGTTACGACATCAATAGTGATTAAAATGACAAAAGATAAGAACATCATAAGACTACTGTATCAAATAAAATCGACTAACAATCAGAATGTGGTCAGTTTTAACATATTCACAGATGATATATACAAATGAACTACAGTACTTAACAATGACCAGTGTTTTGATCACCCAAAGGAGCACAATGGTCATCTTCTTTTACTCATGAAATTCGTCAGATGTCAAGGCGAAATGTAACATTACCATTACTCATTCTTTTATAAAAGGTGTTCATGTTGAGCCTTCATAACACCGCTCAATAGCTACTCCAAGCCCTATAAGCTCCCTTGATGCATATAACTGTTTTGATTTGTTTGAAAAGACAAAATGCTACCAATCTGGCTGATCAAATTGGAAGCAAAGAATGTAAATGCAAATGTTCAACAGACATGCAAATGTATCTCCAAAGCACTCCCATACATGCTCACCAAGCACAAAACATTAGCCATCCTTGTACCAAACACCAAATATGGCACGCCAAGGTAGCAGTTTCCACCATAAAAACAATGGTAGAAATTGCAGTATTCTTTTATAAAAGTCAGTCCGAGGTCATCAAGGAAAGAAGGGACCTAAATCCTCAAATCAACTCTTTATTTTTAAAAATTTTAGGTGAATTATCCCACTATAGCTCTTCAAATTCAGCTAGCACCTCAATGACATTAGAAGATTCACAAATGTTTCATACCTCTATGGTATTGGCAGCCTCGTTACATCAGTCAAATTATAGGTATAACAATATGTACTACACCAGCTATTCTCCGCCATCTAGTAGTTCACTGGAACCGAGAACTGTTTGTGGAGGCAACTCGCACGAGTCAATAAGAGATTTATTTCCCAGCGACCCCATGATGCCTGTTGTTTTTACCAAACTGTTCTTTGAATTGTTATGCTCCAATGACAACAACTCTGAGTCTATAACATCCACATCAGCTTTGGATGGTGGGGGTTTTGTCTCAACAAGAGTACTCACAGTTACAACATGTCCTTTGCCCACTTCAATTGTATTCCCTTCTGATAAAACACTCTCATTGGATCTCAACAATACATCTGGTCTCCAATCCTTATCATCAGAATTTTGAAATGCCTCTGTTTTCCGCTCTTCGCTAATGGGTAAGTGCCCATTTTCTGCATCCAAGATGTTTGTCTGATTTGAATTTGGAACATTCCCTAATTGCTGCTCCATATGACTAGACTCATCAATCATTAACAATTTTGATTCTTCATCTGACTCAAATTTCTGTTCTATGAATACCTTATTTGGAGGCACAACGACATCAGATACTTCCTCAGGACATGCAATGCCCTCATCACTTTTCAACTCACCCAATTGAGCCTCATCACTTCTCATCCCATGCAAATGGAGGCAGATAGGGGCAGTCCCATTACGGCACTTGTGGCACTTAAATCCAATAAGATTACCCATATTTTCGACACTAAGCCCAAAGGCATCCCCATGAAACCAATCTGCATGATAAATTAAGACACTGTAAAACTACTATGAAATACTTTATTAAGACAAAAAAAAAAAAAAAAAGTTGTATTATGAAATATATGAGTTGATAGTTTGTTGCTTCAACAGCCAAGAAATTTATCGGAATCCAAATATTATATTTAAAATGACAAAGAAAATCAAAATATATGTTAAAAGAAAGCAAGTTACCTCCACAAAATTCACAGCCAATATAAGTTAATGTAGATGTAAATCCTCGCTCACAGCAAAGACTGCATTTGGGTTGATCAAGGATGGCGGACAACTGTTCAGAAGGGTCAATAAGTTTTTTACTCCTAAAATGCGTCACTCGTTCATCATTTGGCTTTCTAGACAAACGAAGACCATTCAGCCAGTAAGTATGATACACTGGCGTTCTCTTCTTCTGCCAAGCAACTTTCTTTGGTTTTTTTGATGTCCCTTTTCTGGATTTCATTCTTTTTCCTTTCTTCCATCTTGGAGCTTTCATTTGCTTCCCTTTCTTTTGTCCTTCAAGATTCTTATTTTGAAGTGACACACATTTGACTTTCCTTGCAGAACGTCGCAGAGATACAACTACAGAATCTTTTCTGTTCTTTTGTGATTGTGCTGTTCGTGCATCTTTGCAGGCATTTTTACTGATGTTAGATCGCAGTGCCCTGCCAACTGTGGAGGATGATTTCTTATTTTTTTGTAACTGCGATTTTCCAACCGTGGAGGATTTCATTTTTTTTTGTAACTGCGATTTTCCCTTCTTGGTATCAATCTTCACGCACTTCTTATCCTGGCATTTGTGGCATGTATATGTACATCCAGTAGTAATGGCTCCAGAAGACTTCCTTACATGCCTTTTATGGAAAAAGCCTGAAAGTGATTTACAACTAAATCAAGATAACAACTCTATGGAAAACTTTAAACAAATGACATTAGGTGGTCACAATAAATTCTGTTACATAAAACCATTAATCCATATCATATTTGAAACTGTTATGACAAACACAACGAACCCAAGTTGAACCAAGAATCACGACAGAAAAGTAAACACGCCACACAAAGGACACAAAGATTTATACATGGTTCGGCAACAGCCTACGTCCACGGTTGGGATCCGGCGAAAGTTTTCACTATGTGTAAAATGGGAGATTACAAGTTTTCAGCCTCACTATGTTTCTGTACGAATTTCAGTGTCTCTCTTACCCCACTCCAAACCCTAAGCACCCTTATATATCAGGCCACAAGAGACTAATTAGAGTCCACAGCCCATAAGCCAAAAACGGGTCAAAATTTTTCGAGCTTTGATAAAAGCTAGATCCTTGATCTAATAGGCTTTCGCTCGATGGTCTTGAGAAGGCGTAGCAAGTTAAACATATTCCTCGACAACAAAATTTTGCAAAGGTTCAGGAATGAAAGAAGGGCACATTGAGGTAGCAAATAAGAGAGCAACCAAAAACAAAAAAAAAAGAATATATATATAGAGAGAGAGGTTACCGCTGGTATAAAGATCATGAAGTTATCATACAAAAAAAGAATAGAGAATTAAAGCAGCTAAATCATAAATAAATTGGCGAGTAATAGAGCAACAAAGATATCATGAAATTTAACCAAAGTAGGTGAATTAATAAAGAGAAATTGGGGTTATCTTATCATTCAATCATGGTGTAGGTGAATTAAAGCAAATCGTGAATTTACCATTGGAGAAAAATAAAAAAAGAAAACATCTATGGCCATGGAACTAAAATGGATTACAAGACAATAAGGTATTGGAAAGACACGTGAGCAGGATGAGCCAACTTTCAGACGTATGTTTCTCAACTCTTTTGTACAACTATCTTTAAAGAATGAATTATAAAGTATTCTGAAAAAAGAAATAAGAAATTATAAGATCTATAGAATCTTTTAAGGACGGCTGAAGAGTATACAGAAAAAATGTCTTCTCAACAGTTTTTGGAATGGATATAGCAACAAGATACAGCTCACATCCTTGCAGCCTTCCATACCACTTATCAAGTCATCTGCTTGCACTAACTCATCACTTCTGTTCACAGCTTTGTTGAATCACAAACACCCGGCACTAGCAAAAAATAACAATTTTTCACATGGTAATCTAGATTTTCAAAAATTCTGATCTTCACACAAGACTGGCAAATGTCATTGGTATATATTCCAAATTTTACATATCTCACCTTCCCAAGTTAAGTATAAATACATAAAGCAAGGACTACATTTTCTGAACTCATAATTCAGCAGTACCAAAGTCAACCAATATGACAGGTTTAATTATTGAAGCCACCAAATTGAGGTATAATAAGATTTTAGCAGTGACCAATTAGCATGGGAGCAAGCCACCTAGAAGTTCCAAATTCTAAGACATCAAATTAGTAAAATTATGCAAGATTAAGTACAAGTGACAAGGATCTAAAATTTCAAAAGACAAAAGTGCCAAAAACCCCACTGAACTATATCAGAATTGCAGAAAACCTCCCTGGATTATTGCTTGTTGCATATCAGCCCCTCAACTATTAAAAGGGTGCATCTTACCCCTTGGCAGTCACCGAAAATTAAAAAAATCAGACATACAAAATACCAAAAATGTCTTCATTAACTTAACTTATATACCATATATCTAAACACAGGCACAGTGTCTGAGTGAGAGTTTCGCCGGAGCCAACAACACACACCAGTGTGTGTATGTGTGTTTAGTGGCGGCCATGGCTAGGGTTTTCTTCAGCTTTCGGGTCACCGATGTGTCACTCAAGCCACTCCCACCACACCCTCTCTCCTTTTCTCCAACTGTTGCTTCCCACCATCGTCATCAAGAGGAATCCTTCCGCCGTCATTAACTGCTTGGTGTCGACGTCGATGGCGGCCATAGTATCGAATGACTTTGTCTCTACCACGAAATCTGGAATCGATCAAGAATTCTCTGTAATCGCTGATATGAACTACAACGTTCCCAACATTTAAAAGCTTCTCAACACACAGCTTTTGATCACCAAGCGCATCGAAGAGAATTATCGGAAGCCCAATAAGTTAAACGAAGCCCGGTAATTTCAAAGATATAAGATGTGGTTGGATTTCAGGTTTTCTATATAAAATAAATAAATAATAAATAAATAAAAACCCTTTTTTTTCTTTCCTTTTTGGGACCCAATCAATGAGGGTTTTTATTGGAGATTAGGGTTTCGATTATTTTTTTTCCTTTATTGTGGGATTTACTTCTAGATTGATAATGGAAAGTTTAGTAGTTTGATGATTTTATTGTTTTATTTTTTGGTAGTGCACATGTTCTTTTATACTCTGCTTAGTTGTTGAACAAATAAAAGGAAATAAGACTTTGATTCTGAACATTACCTTTGAGTGAGGAAAAAAATAAAAGGAAATCCATTGCAAATCGTGTATAGATATAGAGTTTTATATGTAATTGTGAATTTTTTTTCTAGGGTTTATATGAGTGAGTATGACCATACAATGTGTATTTATGGAGGTCTGCTTGTATTCATATATATATATATATATATATATATATATATATATACATTGAACATATATATACTCACTTGAAATTTATATGTAAACATATATGTAATATAATAAATTTATGCATTGGAGAGCTTATAGAGGAAGGGGTATACCAATCATATGGAAGGGCAATTTTGTCATTATCTGAGTTTTTTTTCCCCTGAAAGTTTATATGTCATTTAAAGTCACGTGACTCTCTAATCGTCGGAAAGCAGCCGGCGGTGACCACCAGGGGGTCACATTGCAACTTTCTGATAGTTTAGGGTCTGATATGCAACAAGCAATAGTCCAGGGAGGTTTTCTGCAATTCTGAAATAGTTCAAGGGGCTTTTTGGCACTTTTGCCAATTTCAAAATGGTCTCTTGGACCATGGTTATCAGCAATAGTAATGATACACTTTAACTAAGGGCAATACACTTTAATTAAGGGCGGTAGATGACCAAGAATGACTGGCCATGTAATTTGAACATAGAAGTTCACAACCTGCAGCTCAGAATCATAGCAAGAAGAATAAAATAAACCGAAACTTCACATAGAAAATTGTGGAACCACATGCTTGATTTTCAAAAAGGAAAAGGAATGGACAGTGGGTTGATTTAATATTAGCAACAATTATAGTATCTGTCACATATTTAGTACATGCAACAAAACACCACAATATTTCCATGCCTAAAGGTCGAGGTGGAAATTTCAGTTATGGGTTGCACATCAAGCTGTCATAATGGTTGTTAAAAGAACAAAACCGACCTTAACCAAGATGCCAGATAACATGAACCATCCATAAACAACCTAGTCTAAAATGGGGCAGCCCTAAACTGACCTGCTTTGGTTGTACACTTTGTGAACCAAAAAAGTACAGGAACAACAGATGAAGATCAAATGATTTATGTTCCCATATCTTCAGTTGTTTTAAGCAACAAGACAACATAAGACCATCATAATACAGTAAATGATGAAGAATAATCAACAAATAACCAACATCTAAGGAGTTGAAATTAAATAATTTGAGAGAAAACCATTAAGAAATGAAAGTATAAATAAATCAAAAGAGCAAAAGCATTCAGATCAGGCCACTAAACCCCAGAAAGCAAAAGGTAAACATATAGTATGGTACAAATCCCTTCAACTAAAATTGAATTATCTCGAGTCCAACTTAATAAAAAATAAAAAAGAAAAAAGAAAAGAAAGAGAGAGAAAAAAATCATGCACTTTGCAAGAACTCGAAACTAGGACTTGATCTAGCCATTGTTAACATTATTGGTGAAAAGGAAAGAACATTCACCAAGATCACACCCTTGGAGGGGGGGGGGGGGGGAGGTTAAAATTAAAAAAGTGTCCTACAAGTTTCTAAAAAAATATTTGGAACCCAACATTTCTATAAACTATTTAAGGCATAAAAACCTGGATTGGCCAGAAGATGCCACCCCTACCAATAAAATTCTCTCCACAAAATTAATGCCACCATGAACAGTAACCATTTCAAGAGGATGGATCAAAAATCAAGAAACCATAACATATTGTTTAAACTCAATTATTTACCTTTGCAATGTTGGCAGCTGACAGCTTCCCTGCAAATGAAGAAATGGAAATCAATAAGATTTCAAATTAAAATGGAATTGACACAAAGACAGAATGGAAATAGAACTTGATGTGCTTTAATCTATTAACTATACAACTGGTAACATTACAAGTTTGTCAAAATAGCATCTGAATTTTTTTTTTTTGTTTTTAAAGAATAAGAAGATATAATTGACTTCAATAAAACAATTAAATAGTGCGATATAAATATGAATTACAGTAAAAAAGTGGGAAAACCTATGTAATTATGGGGTACACATGAGCAAGAAAAACACTAAACTGATAATCTAAGTCTATCTAGTATCTATAAATTCACAAAAAGTGTCACAAACCCTAAATCTTCCAAAGAAGAAAATCCCCAAGTAAGCAAAGTTCAACTTTACAAACATTTCTACACTATCAGAAACTCTTATATTTCTTCCTTCCAAAGTCCAGAAAGCTCATGCGGAGTCCCATTCAAAATAGTTCAGATATTCCTGTACATGGCAATGAAGCACCAATTCAGAAGGAAGTCAAAGATTGATCAATACAAGACCCATTCCACTGGACCCATAAGGGAAAAATAAAGAAAGCAAATACCCATATATACTTCGACTTGGTGGATTCCTATACATGAGCATCAATTTGGAATACAAATGTTTCAACTAATTGAATGATCCACTGGCATCACCACCACCCGAGTTCAAAAAAACCACTTTCACAGGGAACAGGAGGCATTCAACAATTTTTTTCCAGGAGATCAACCTCAATTTTAACCAAAACATTAAGGAGTTCACTGTATATAAACCATTTAACTTAGCTTCAAAACCATAACATCCTTCATAACCCAAGTCCCGCAGGACCTTTTCAAAATACATGACACCCAAAATCCCAATCATGAAATCTTCAATGAAACAACATTCCAGTGCACCTCTTTACCCTCACACACCACATTATCATTCACCCACACTTCTTATCCTTGCTATTTTAAGAAAGAAGATTTCCAACATCAGAAGCACTTCATCACGCCTTATTACACTTTCAACCTCACCTCATCCACAAACTAATCAACCCATCAATGATAGCCTTCTGAAAAAAGCACTACTAAACTTCCCCAAAAACCATCACCACCACTCACCAATGTCAGCTTCATCACCAAAATTATTGAAGTCAATTTCTACATCTATTGCAAGCTGAAAGTAACATCAGAGCTCAAAAAACAGCCCCGGTCACCTAGCCTAATTATTTTAATTCCCTAGAAAGTAAAACACAATAACACCAATAAGAATAATAAAACCCATGATATTATGAGAACCTAAGATCAGCAACGGGTATGGAGAAAAAAGAGGAGAGATAGGGGGAGCAAGTTATTTTCTTCAGTTGACATTAAAATCTCAGAAATAAACACTTAAAGCACAGCAAGAGCCATATTGCCCCAGAAAAAATTGACAGGAAGTTTAAATAACTTAGAGAAACCAGTTGACCATTGCTCAAGGTTGGATTCCAAATCTGCTGGAATTGTTCATTCTGCTAACCAATATTGAAATAATTTATTCAAGCTTACAAGCGGAAGGAAGTCTAGAAATTTTTTAAGGTCATAACAACCAATTGCCACAACAATTATAATGTTACACTAATGATGGTTCAATAGATGTGGAAGACAATTGGCAGGACAAAAGCCTCTATTTAAGGTTCAGTATTGAACTACATTGTTATGCCAAATCTTCAGCATTGACAATTGCATAATACCATCAAATACCATGATAAATTTAATACATTTGATAAATCTCCCTGACAGACTAGCAGGGTAGCACAAAACAAATGTGCATAATTTGAGTAGTAGCACTTGAAGACTTATTTTATAGGTGTCATCACTTTCTTCTTCAGGTGATCTTCCCATAAAATTTTGACATATAATAAGGAAGTACATCTTATTATAATTTAATAAACCAAAAAAAAAAAAAGGTGTGCAAAATAATTCATCATGATTATTAGTTGATAACAGCATTTATTGCTTCAAACTTGGCTGCACCACAGAATTTTCTGTTTAGTATCATGCACCATTCCATAAAAGTGATATTTCATTTGTTAACTCTAAGGCATATAAGCAACCAATAAAACACATGACACTACGTTTCATAAGGGAAAACAACTATATTTATATGTATATATATATATATATATATATGTATATCAGTATCCAATGCATCCCTTTCATGATGAGGGATAGTCGGTTGCCTCCTACTATTTAGAGAACACACGATGAAAGAAACGGCATAGCCAAAGTTTTTAAGACATGACAACTGATAGTGAGATCAGATGAGAAGACTGGGCGATTGTTCTTGGCTCCTTAGCTTTATAGGGTCAAGTATTTCTCAGCAAAAATAATGAGATTAGATTAAGAAGACTGGGTGATCATTCTTGGCTCCTTAACTTGATAGGGCCAAGTATCTCTCAGCAAAATAATGGATGATTATTAATCCCTAAAATAAAAAGAGGCCCCCTTTAGAAGACCCAATCTTAAATAAATAAATAAAAACCCGCAAGTATAATTTTTTCTCTCTTTTTCTTTTACTTTTTGCGCAGACAGTGTATCGTAGTCTAACCCAACCTGTGCTCAGTGGGTCTCGAACTTAATTTCTCAAACATCTGTGTCATTAGCTTGCTTCACTCTTCTCCATGCTTGAAAATAACTTTCTTCAAGAGTGCAGACTAGGAACTTTAGGCTAAAAAATTTTGGTTGACTTTTCCCTTTGCTTCCCGTGTGAGAAGTAATCCTTCTCCCTCTAAATCAGGAAAATGCTTTTAAACTGAATGGCTCCCCTAAATTCATGGCTGTTCGGAAGTCCATCGCTTACAAGTGAGTCAATATTAATGTGGTACCTAAAGCTAGAAGGCCCAGTGAGCACTTTGTACAAAATAAGTATTATTTCACCAGGGAAGTAAAGAGACCACCAACAATTTTCTTACTCATGGAGAAGACTCGTTACTTTGGCTGGAGCTTCATAACTCACCCTTTGGAGATTCATTCATTACTTTACCTCTCTCTTCAAGGAATTGGTTAAAGTGATATATCTGAAGTAATTCCAAATCTTGATAATTTGGATTAACAGAAATGATAGACTCTGTGAAGATAATTTTTCTTCAGAAGAAGTGTGTTGGGTACGGGATCTCCACTATAAAAGAAACTAGAGGAATGCCTTTGAGCATCAACATGCAAGAAAAGATTACAGCAACCTCCTCCAGGCCTAACATAGTACTACAATTCCTACTCCAAGGGGAGAATCAAATTCAAATGCTATTCACTTAGTAATCTGAAGCAGTTTCATATTGGAGGTCTTTCAAAAATTTTGAAGGAACAATCTAGTAACACTCCAACCCTGTTGGGGCAGGTTATGCATCAAAGCAGAAAATTAGCTCTTCAAGGCCTTAGAGAGGCGTCTTCTATGGGATTTCATTGCTTTGTTAAAGGAGACCAATTGTGAGGTTAGATGAGATTCTAAAGAAATCTTGCTACGCGGCAATATACATATTTGATGAACGAGATTGTGGATTTGTTTGTTCTTAGTCAAAGGGGGTATTACTAAGATTCCTAGGATCACCAATACCAATATGTTAAACAAAAGAATAGTTGCCTCACATGTTCTTTTCTAACCTCCTTGACTTTTATCTGTTAGGTGCAGCTTCTTGTTTGTCATAAGCTAAATTTTGTCAGCTCATTTTTCAGTTTTAATAATTTTAGTTCCAATTTCGAAGGGCATCTCACCCTTCTATCCTCTCAACCCTCAACTTCCTTTCTTAGTAATATTCTTCACGCCCTTTTACCCCCAAACAATAAAAATAAAAAAATCTTAGCCAATAATGGCATATATAAGACAGTCCGTTTCTAGGAATATTTCTTTTGTTAACAAAAATAATTTGTTTAGTATCTTCACTCTGAGGCATTAAAAGATAATATAACCAATTTAAATTTAAGAATTCCATCAATTGATTAAACTAGAAAACTCATCTATCCTCTAGAAGAACAGTACACATAGCTATGACACGCAATGATAGGAAAGGATGCCTCATTTAGTTGTCATTCTAACCTAGAATTTGAATGCTACAAGAAAGAATAATTTATGGCCCAAATATTGATAATCTTCCCATAAAAGTAAAATCTTTTTTGTTTAAGCTCACACCTTCATGCTTACATTCTGCAGAGATCAAATGTTGTGACTTTAGTAACATCTAATAAAGTACTGGCATCCTGTCTCAAGTTCAAATCATTACATCAAGAGAATGAAAGCAAAGACAAATACTTACCCAGTAAAAATTTGTGCAAGGTCTAGCAAATACTCAGACAAGGCCTCTGATTAAACACTCTGATTAAACTTGAACACATCCACTGACTCTAACCCTAATACCAAACCATTTGACCGCCAATATAATAGACATACACATACTTTAATATATAAACCTACATCAATTAGACATGAGATCATAACCAAAATCAAAAGCATTCACCTTGAAAAAGAGGTAACCTTTCATTCGGAGAGTGACTAAATCAGATTAGAAAACAAAGATATATGACCAATCAAAATTTAATATTGTTGATTGTATGGACTGCTGTTTGGGGTAAGATTTTGCTGATCGATAATCTGAGGAAAAGGGGAAATCTTATTGTTAACTGGTGCTGCATTTGTGAGCGGGATGGGGAGTCAGTCAATCATCTCCTAATGCATTGCTCTGTAGCGCGCGATTGCTGGAATCTCATTCTTGGCCTATTTGGCATGTGTTGGGTAATGCCACACTCTACTAAGGAGCTGATTCATGCTTGGAGACGTTGTGTGAGTAGGAGTGTTCGTGCTTATTGGAGATCTGTTCCTCATTGTATTTGGTGGTGCATCTGGAAAGAGCAAAATACTAGAATGTTTGAAGGGAAGGAATCGCCTACAGCGACTCTAAAACTTTTTATTCTTCGTTCTCTTTTTAGTTATGTGAACAGAAGTTCGTGTTCCTCTTCTGTTGATTTAATTTCTTTTTTGGATTCTTTGGGGCCTTAGACCCCGGGTTCTTTTATGTCTACGGGACGCGTTCCCCTATTGAACGCCTTTTTTAATTTATTATTACTTATCAAAAAAAAAAAAAATTTAATATTGTTGAAAACTATCTACTCTGAAAGCTTGAGTTGTTAGAGAGGGTGTAACTTTAATATTTAAGTCCTTCAACAAATATTATATACCCAACAATATTTTTAAAAAGATAAAGACTGAAAATCATTGGTTAGATTGTAGCTAAATAATGATTTTATTCTTTTCCCGTGAATATTTTGGACTTTTTTGTTCAATACTGATTTTCTTTTAAATTTAAGAAATCTCTATACAAACTTTTATTGATGTTCAGTAAATACCACTTGTCCCAATTTATCAGTCCATTTAGAAAAACCCAACTATTTGAAGGAGGCAATATTTAATGCATTAAGATTCAACTAGGAAGTATCAATTTTACGATCTACACTCCATTCACAGTATCTGTATTCACATTAGAACTGCAAAAGGTAATATATGAAAGTTAAAAGCTGTTTGCAGTGACTTTCAAACTGGGCAACTTTTATGGGAAATCCAAAGGAGAATGCATGAACCAACAAATTGCAGTGGAGGTGGTAAAAATAGGTTCATACTGTTATTTTGGTCCTCGGCATTTTTTTTTTTTTTTTTTTTTTTTTTTCACACTTTGAAAGTTAAAAGGTAGTTATTTTATATTTTCTGTTTTCTACTAGTCCGTAGACTGTTGGTTTGGACCCAACTAAATTGATATGTACTAGGAAAAATACATTTTACCTCCACTGAGGTTCAGCAATTTCCTGTCGACTGTCAGAACTAAGCAGGGGCATCCCTCACCTTTAGTAATCCCCAATGGTGTTATTGGAGAATCCATAACTTATCTTATTACCGCCATTATTTACATTCTTTTATCACGATAAACAGCTTGATTAATTGGATATCTCAAAGCCCACCTCCCTATACGGCTACACCACCCAGCCCCGCTATGCCCCTTCTTGCCAACCAACATTTCCATCGTCATCAAACACCACTTCCCATCTTCAAATTCTCTCACCCAAACCCAAGCCATACGTCTCTCTCTCCGAGTCCCAACTCGATCCTGAAACTTTCCAATAATAAACAGCACACTCACAAGATCAAACTAATCACCATTAAACTCCCAGTTTAACAGTATAATTATAACAAAGTTTTAGAGAGAGGGTGCAATAACAGATGCTTCCTAAAAGAACCAGCCTTCACCTTATATTTCTCAACCCCTCTTTCAACTATCTCCTGAACCAACATTAAAGCCAACATAAACATATTAGAAAATTCACTTTATTATTTTCTGAACCAGCTGCTTGCACCGCTCTATAATAAATTTGAGAATTGTAGGGTAATTGACATGTTACTTTATATGGTAGGTTCACTGCACAAACCTTACAATGAACATTGTCACATTAAAACAGTTGCAGAATTGTGTGTGAGAGAGAAACATTTAAGAGGAAATACAAAGATTGGTATGAAGAAGTACTCAACCCTATGATTCTTAGATTTGGAAGGTAATTGACATGTTACTTTATATGGTAGGTTCACTGCAAGGACCTTACAATGAACATTGTCACATTAAAACAGTTGCAGAATTGTGAGTGAGAGAGAAACATTTAAGAGGAAATACAAAGATTGGTATGAAGAGGTACTCAACCCTATGATTCTTAGATTTGGAAGGAATGAATAGGGCCCACATCAAAAGATAGTTGAACCTAGGAGTCAAGACATCGCCACTTTAAAAACCATAACACTAGTGTATCTCAACTAGACTGCACTCGCAACCTCTTGGTTACTCAGGGTGCCCTTTGGGTACCAACTGAGCAAATAGCTTGTCTGCAAGGGAATACAGATCCTTCAGGAAAAGGTTTCCAGCAGCCTATGTGCCACAATCCATTAAACTAAACCATCTTAAAGTACCACAGATATGTAGAGATTTATCAACTCACCATGATTTTGGAGCTAGTGAGCAGAGCAAAACAGAGAAGATGAAATAACTCCCCCCCTCCCCCCCTCCCCCCTCTCTCAACTCTTTTGTTTGACTGTTTTTCCTTCTAGCTCAGATTGGGATCGGTCAGTATAGTACAAATGATTTTTGGCATTAATCGATTGATTAGTTTGGACATGAGGGAGCTTCCTCTATGTATCAATTGATGTGATAGACAGAAAAAATGAGGACCACTGTTCATCTAAGAAGAGGTGAAAATGAGCTTGAATGGGCAAAATTGGATTGGTATGAGAGTATAAAGGTTAGTTGACTTGTCGTTGACAATGGAGAGAGAAATAGAGTGAAATAAAAATATGATGGGTTGATTTTTGACAGAGTAAATCAAACTTAGAGAAAATAAATACTGCCCAAGAAAATTGACTTACCTAGCATTAACCTTTCTTCCTTAGTTTAGGGGTGATATCAAGATCCACCAATTAATGTTCGAACCCGAGAAGATGGAAGAGATCTTCAGAAAGTGAGTTTTTATGATCCAACAAAGAATCAAACTTAAATAGAGTTCCTGCTATTCTATACTTACTTTTTTGTGAGATTCCATCGAGATCCACCAATTGCAAGGAGGTCCCCGACTATTTTGGAAACCTGTGGCAGCATACTGCCAAACCTAGGCAATTGAAAATTTCACTATATTTTCTTCTCTGATTTAATAATAAAAGACAACCATAACTATCAACTTATTTTCTATACTTTAATTTGAGTTTAACATATTATAAGGTCTTTCAAATTTTCATTCTTTTTTAGATAAATATATGATTATTATCAAAGCATAAAAATCACAGCCATAAGGATACTTTTGAGAAGATAATTCCATAGAATAAAATAATTCTATAGTACCTGATCAGGACATCTTTATTACAGTGCCCACACTGATAATTCTCAGATCTTTCTGCTTTTGAGAAAAGGTATGAGAATCCCCTTTTCTTGGAGGTCGTCTTCTTAATTCTACCACTCTCATAAAGTTTCTTAGAACTCATCTTACTGGACTTGCGGGCAATTGTTCTCTCTTCAAAAGCTTTCAAGAGATGCAAAGGAACATGAGATTCTTCCAGCCAATATTTCTTCCTTCCACTGGAGGATTCTTCAAGCATGCATCCGTGTCTCACAACAATATCAGGGATAAATCTTCTCTTGCCAAAATCAAGAAGATACTTTACCATTGTTCCTTCCGTGCCCTTCCGACGGATTATCACTTTCTTGAATGACCTCACTGGTTTTCTAGATTCCTTGTCCATTGCCGACAGAAGTTTAGTGTTTTCAATTTCATCCCATTTAATGCTTGTATCAAGTTCTCTAACCTGGAAAACATTAAATAATGGCCCGAGAAATTCAGTAAACATATAAATCGTGACCATTAATTCAATATTTGAAAAATAATGAGTGTTGGAAAGAACTGAGTCAGGTCAATCATAACAAGTGATATCGCATCAATTTCTTGTACCCTCAAAATGGACCCATACTTCGGATCATAATCGACTGTTGGTAATATAAATGAAATTATAACAATCTTTTACTACATTGTACATAATTGAGACATAAAACAACTATTTTGAAAATGCAACTGATTGACAGCCAAGTTCAGAAAGTATAATTTTACTTGGAGTTGGATTTTCAGCCTCAGCCACCTTGGCCTGGCAGGCTATCAGCAAACCAACCCACATGCTAGGTGTGCCAAGCTGGCCAATGCAACAAGCCCACAATTAAAAGTTAGCAGTAAAAGTCACTGAACAGGGGGAACATACCTGGAGAGCAAGCTGCGCCACACTTCTTGATGTCTCAACAGCAGCACGCCAAGCAACATATTTGCTTCTCTTTGCAAATTCTGAATTGTCAGGATATAGTATGCCTGGTATCTTCGTAAATCCAGCTGCAGAATTTAGACTTCAAACAAATTCAGAATGATTATTCAGTTGAAAAAACAAGAAAAAGTAAACAGAAGAAAGAGGAAAAGAACTTGCAGACCTTGTCGGGCAGCCTTGGAAGCTAAGGAGCGAGGCAAAACCTTCGAATTGAACAGCTGACGTGAAAGCCTACCACCCCTCCACCAAAACAAAATCAATCCAGAGGTAGCATTTGAAGAAGGATTAGAATCCATACTCGAAAACCTAGCCCGTTTTTTACCAATCCCGTGTTTAGCAGACAAGCGTAGTGAACTGGTCACAACATGAGAAGCAGAACCCATTGTAGCGACAGAATCCACATGTTTTAGCCACTCTGGCGAAAGTGCAAGAGGACGCAAATTTGACTCTAACTGCAGCACACCCATCAACAATGTCAATTTACACAAAAAGTAATTGAGTGAGAACACAGATTACTTGTTGGGAAAAAAAAAAAAACACACACACACACACACAAAAAAAAAAGTAATTGAGTGAGAACACAGATAACTTGTTGAAAATTGCAACAAATAAGATGACACTTAAGAAATTCAAGATGAAGCAAATTCAGAAAAGACCAAATTGGAAAAAATAATTCCCTTGCTATGAGGCCACTTTCAACCATGCAAAACTCGGTTCTATTTCCAAGTCGACTTTTACAGTCTTACATTATGTTTCAAAAACATTAGTGTGCTGCTATTTTAGTTTTACTTTTACTTTTAGCATTCTGCTATTTTAATTTTACTTTTAATTTCTATGAATGAATGAACCAAAGGTAGTAGTTGCCCATGGATTTTGTTTTAATAGTATGGCAACGCTAGCCTTTATCATCTTACAAGATTTGCTGCAATTGTTGTCACTCCAAACCAATATCCAGTGAACTAAAAATATTTATTTGCGAATGAGGGTTGTTAACAGCTGAAACTTTGCATAACAGAAAACTGACCGATAATACATATCCAGTATCTATACATGTATCGATATATTAAGAAATATTCTACTCCTACAATACTTTTTGTAAATATAACCTTGGTTACATTGTGCCGTCTACACATTGTAACTAGGATGGTTGCACTTAAGGTATTTAGTATAGAATTGAGTTCCAGATGAGCTCATCAGGCTATAGTTTAAATTGGGTCAGATCTCCAGATAATGCCCTGGATCCCGTCCCGCCAACCTAATCCTATATACTGAGTTACAACCCAATTTTGCAGCAACTACAATATTACAAGTAAAAATTTTGAATATTCTCACCGTGAGCAACAGATTTTTCACTGAGGTAACATCTGATGCTTTCAGAACACTTTTATGCAAAAGCTTGGAATAATGTGGATTTAGCCATGGGCCCAGAAGAAGCCCGTGCAAACGATATTCAGTGCAGAGAATATGGCACATAACATCAATGAGATGGCCTTTCCTATTCCTTTTTGAAGGAAGACCAACCAGCTCACTTGTAAAACCATCCAAAGCAGGACCAGCATCAATCATGTTGAACAAGCAATCCCTATCATCGTCAGGAAACTTGCAAGAGAAGCACCACCCACATTTTTCTTTCCTGGCATCAACATGTAGGTTCTGAATGTTTGACCACTGAAACTTGGAATAGTTCTTCAATATGGCCTTCAGCTGTACTGAAATTATTTCCTCAACCGATCCTGTAGAGTCTTTCATGACCTTGTCCGATGATTTATGTGTTAACTCTTCTGCAACTGAAGAGGCTGTTTGAGCAAAACTATAATAATTTGCATAAATAATTTCACACTGCCCCTGTGAGGCATCCCCTTTTCTTGTCTTCATGCTAGGTGATGTACTGCCACAATCTGCAGATTGGATATTCATTCCTTGTTCAACGTTTAAATTGTAGATGTAAAAAATAGTTTGAAACAGAGAGGATTTTACCTGGAATCTTGGAATCAATTGATATCCCAGCAGAGGATTTCGAACGATCTGGCCCAGTTTTCTGGGAATTCTGAATGCCAGTGATAGCTTGTGAGATTTCGGCTGATCCCTCAGAACTTGTCACTAGATTTTCCATCTTCATGAAATGGTTCACATTCGCTGGCTCAATATTAACCAACTCTGAGACCTCGCAGCCTGTATTACCAGAATTTTGAGTGATCATAGAGTTTTCTTCTGGTTTTCTTTCATCAATGGTATCATCCTTAACACGGGTTTCTGAAGTTGTCAAAAGCAGATGCAATGCAGCAGGAGCAGCAGGCATTTGTCCCTTCGTAAGAAAATCTGAGCTTGCAGTAATGTTCTGGGAGTCCAAATCACTTTTGCCTCCACTAAAATTAAAAGACAGATCCCATTGCTGGGATATGGCACTTAGTATTGCGCTGTAATGTAAGTCCGATGACTTTAGTGCTTCAGTAACAACTGTCAAATCACTTCGGTGGTAATAACTATATGAGGATTCAGTGTCACACGAATCTGCCCTGTGGATTCATTACACCAAACAAAAAAGTTTAATAACAGATTTTATGTCAAAGATGAAAGAAAGAAAGAAAGAAAGAAGGATGATGATCAAGAATAAAAGGATAAGTTCATCAGGAAAAAAAAAAAAAAAAAAAAGGATCTCTTCTGTAAAAATTAAAGAGCTTCGATTTTCAGGACTCCAATGAATGTTCTTCAAATGTGAAATTTAATAGCTAAATCAAACAAAAGAAATGTGAAAAGAAGTGAGCCAGAGGTTTCCAAATACTTCTAAGCTTCAAAAAAATTGTAACAACAATTACTTCACAGAGGTTTCATAATTTGACAAGCCACACAACATACCATCTAGGCAATACAACTTAACATCACAAATAAATGTTGGTAAAACTCAGTACAAAATGAAGTGGTCTCAATTTCAAACAAAACACGAGTTACGGGGGGAGTCCCCGGGTCTATGTGTACCACAAACATGGTTTAATGAACCAGTCTTCACAATGGAATTTAATAAGCCCCGACTCACGGACACACTATGATCAGAAAAAGTTGCTAAAAACATATACAAAGATTCTGGGGAAAAAATTTAAGCAGAAACTGAAAAGATGAAATGAGTAAAAGGCACTCTTAATTAAGTTTAAAATATTGAGTTAATTGCAAGGCTATCAAGTTAGACAGAAGGAAAACTAAGACTTTAGGTAATAGAGATATAAATATTCAATAGTACCAATATTGAGATTATATTTAACAATAAAAAAATAGACTAAACATCATCTTCTTCTTTACAGAAAAAGTGTCTTTCCTCCATCCATTACTCAATCAACACATGCCAAGTTTCAAAATGAAAAGAAACGCTGACAGTAAATTTTTGGTTTTCACACAAAATATAATAACAATTTTTTATGTGTTGCTTCAAATAGATTTAAAATGATAGGTGTGAGTTTAGTATCAACTGGTATGTATTTGTCTTCACAACATCAAGGTATCACTTGATATTCGGGAAAATTCATCAAAGACACCTTTTTTTCTCACTTAATTTGAGTATGGGGATCTGAATACACATCTAAGCCTATGGATACCAATATCTAGCAAGCACTATAACTGAATTTCAACTATCAACTGATACTTCTTACAATAATCGCATTACTGCCCTAGCTAAAACCCACACATTTAACTGCAAAAGGCATCTGTTCAACCCAAAACTACAACCTTTAGTATATCTTAACAAATGATCTCATATGGTTTTAATTGGTTTATAGAAAGCCTATGAAAGGGTACGCACATAGTTCTTAAAGGCGCACGTAGGCTCCAAAAAAGTCACAGGCTCGTCAAAGCTCAGCTAGAGTGTCTTAACCTAATACAGGCCAGGCTCCTTCAGTCAGGCTCACAAAAAGCCCTCAGGCTCACGCCTTTTATTTCTAATGATTTATTCATATCATTTTTCTTGTTTGTAAAATAACAACTAAATTAGAACTTCTATATCATATCATGATCATATTTAATGGATCATATTTTTCAACGTTATAAAATATCTGACAATAACCATAAATTTATGGTTCATTAACATTAATTGCATTTAGTGCTTGATTGTGAATATTTATGATAATATAAATTTATGGTTCACTACTTACATTAATTGCATTTAATGCTTGATTATGAATATTTATGATAATATATTCCTATTGTGACCTCCCACTTCGCCTGGGGAGAGAAGTAGTTGGCACTTATATATATGGACCTCCTAACTATGTAGGTGCATTTTGAAAACCATGATCACAAAGAGTGTGCAAAGCGGACAATATCTACACAGCGGGGTGGGTTGTGACGGAGATCAGAGCCAATCTCCAGCCGGAAATGGGGGGATCGTGCACAAACCCATGAGGGTCATGCCAACAAAAACGTTGGGTCCCAATAGGGGGTGATTGTGACATCCCGCATCACCTGGAGGGGGAGAGGTGATCCGCACTTATATATGTGAACACCTCCTAACTGTGTAGACACATTTTAAAAACCATGAGCACAGAGAGTGTGCAAAGCAAACAATATCTACATAGCAGGGTGGGTCGCGACAAGTTTTACATAATTATACTTTTTAATTGTTTAAGATATATAATCGCATTGAATTTGGTTAATACATATAAATATGATATGTTTTATGAGCATTAATTTACTTAATCCTCTTAGTTGATATATCAAAAATCCTATTTTTAAAGAATTTTTTATTATTTGTATCTCATATTTTGAATTGTTCTTATTGTACATTGATTTTATTAAATTCATATGCAAATAGAAAAAGTATATGAATGTTGTTTAAGTTAATTTATTGAATTGATATGTTGAAAACATTCCTTATTTTGATATTGACAAGTATGTGTTGCATATTTTAAATATATTAAATACACTTATAACTAATATGCATTATGATCACGCACGCGCCATACTTCAATAAGGCTCGCGCCTTGCACCTAGGCTCCAGAAGACGGTGAAGACTTTCAGCGCCATGAGTCTTTAAGAACTATGGGTATGTAGAAATCTCACATGGAGAGTTTTAGAAAAGAAGGGGGCTCACAAATGGATATGCTGACATAATAAAGAATGTATGTGGGAGAAACAAGTGAATTTTTTAAAACTGCAACCTTCAAGGGTCAGCATTAAGCCCATATCTTTTTCTCTTAGTTATGAATTAAATGACAAGACACATTCAGAGAAAGATTCCACAATATATGTTATTTGCTTATGATAATGTTTAGTTGATGAAGCTAGAGAAGGAGTAAATGCTAAATTGGAGGTTTGGATAGATAGGAACAAAACTGAATATATGGAATATAACTTTAGCAAATTTAGAAATACAAACAGGGATGGAATTATAATTGAGGATCAAGAGGAACGAAAAAAGAAACATGTACATGTGTTGTTTCAATACAATTGCTTGCTTGCCAAAAAGAGAAAGTTAACACTTCCATTAGTTGGCTCAATTATTCCTATTGAAGGAGAAGTTGGAGATGATTTTAATCATAGAATAAAGGCAGGATGGGTTAACCCAACTCCCTCACCCCCGACACGCGCAAATTCAACCACCACTGGTGACCTACTTCAATCAGGCGAACCCCCAAAATTCACCCACAACTGGAACTGACAAAACCATGACAACACCACTATTATATAATCATCAAATCCCAACAACCACCACTAATACCGTCACCATAAAATTAAAAAAATAATAAAAAAAATTAAATTAAACAACGATTGCTATCATCTTTGGATCAAAATCCATCACCAAACCCAATAATAAAAAATAAAAAATAAAAAACCCCAAAATAACGATTATAAATTTCCAAAAAAAAAAAATTCTACTTTCTTTCTAGTTAATCTACTACGACTCCCAACTACATCCTAGAACCCCTCTCTCATACACAGTCTCAATTGATATATAAAAATCAAATTGAATCTCCATCCACCACCTCCTTTTAGAGGTGGTAAGAACATTAAAGGTCCAAGTAAATGAAACTTCTCACAGTACAAGAACTATCTTTACCAACCCTCCACACATCACCCCTCTATTTTCTCTCTCCAACCTAAACCTCCGTCCCTTCCATCAATAATGATTGTCAGACCACACACCCACCACCACCTCCATATACTGCCAGTATGCCACTTCCCCATCACTACCTGGAGCTAAAACCCACATCATCCACACACTGACAACCACTTTCATATGGTGAACCACCACTTCCATTACTCTCAACAATTGAAACCCATTCCCATTGCCACCAAACCTGAAACATAAAATATCCTCCTCTAACCAACACAATCCAAAGCCCAAACCAGTAAAATCTACCATCATCCAACATGTTCAAACTTGTCAAAAGAAACAATAACCAATCTTCATTTAGGAACCCCATAAGCCTCTCTTCTCTTGAGACTCAAATATGCACACATAAAAGCACCTGTGAGATCAATAAAATCCCTAGTCACCATCCAAGAGGTTCCTGATATTTGGGTTTATCATGGATAAAGCCAACAGCAAGACACTGTCACTGACGGAGAAGCCAGTGATGATGATGAGTCGTGTGCATATATATACCATGTATATATAGAGAGAGAAGGTATATGTGTATTCTATATATGTACTACAGATGTAAACATAAACACCTGTACATTATTGAAGCTTTCCATATGCTTTCTTCTTATTTGTCAATTAGCATGCAATGACTCTTCTGCCTTTAGTTGATAGAATTCACTGGCAGAAGAGTGCATTTTTAAAATATATCACCACCATGTCAAATATTGGAAAAACTCATGGATGGTAAAAGAAACATTGACTAAAAAAATCTAGAAAACCCGAAATAGCAGATAAAAATGAGAGGGCATAAATATCCCCCAGTTTATGAAGCTTTTTGCATTCATATAACAAAATTTATGAGGGCTCCGGCGAAGATGATATTGACCAACTGCCATGGGAAAGGGCAGATTGAAATCATGAACTCCAAAGGTGATGACATTTTCAATAGGACCTAGATTCACAAGGAAGCAACCATTAGAATTAAACAAAATTCCTCCACCAATTATGGTTTGAAGATGCAGAAGCGGTGTAACAGACGCAAAGCCATATCGGGCGTAATGTAACAGAATCGGTTATTGAGGTTTTGACATTTTATCAATCTTACACACTATCAGATGTGCTGACTCGGCTAAGTCTCTAAAAATTCAAAAGAGACTGTGTTGATTCCCTACAAGCTCAATCGAGTCTCGTGTGATACCAATTCTCACCAATATATCAGTGCGTATCAGACTCAGCCAAGTCAGTTACAACTCAGCTGATTTAGTCATGATTTAGCTGATGACTTGACCAACTTGCTGAGACTCATCTAATAATAAGCTGAACTTGTTATGATCTTTGTGTAATTTCACCAAATTACCCAAATATCTTCTGACATTACTGGAGAATAAAAATAAATAGTTCAATTATTAAAAACCTAAAAGTTGAAAGAATAAACAAAATCTAACAGAGAGTCTCCTCTCTTCTCTCTCCCACATCTTCCTCTTGTAGATGAGTCACCTCCAGAATTCTTTTCAAATCAATGTCAACATCAATAGCTCCATCTAGTATTCATACTCTTAGTCGGGGCAAAACCATCATAATCATTACTAAATTTCACTCGACTTGACATCCCAATAATTAATATACCATTTAATCATCAACGCAGATAAAAAAAAATAAATAAATAAAAATAAGCTATAATTCAGTTATTCATGGTGAGAGCGAGAATTTTAGAGATAGAGTGCTGCAGTGGCCATGGCAACAATGATAAAAGGGTTTACTGTTTTAACAAAGAAGGTGAAAGAATATTCTTTTTTTTCTTTTTTCTTTTCCTTTTTTTTTTTTTTTTTAATAAGTAAGAAGGTGGAAGAAGATTCACCGAACCAAAATAGCAGTTTGTCAATACGGAAAGGTTAAAATTTGCAGATTGGTGCTGAAGCCACTCTTAGAGAGTAGATGCTCGCAAGAAACAGGAGTTTGGCACCTATCCTAGAAGAATCGTGGGAAATTTACATAGCACCCATTCAATTTCTTGGTACATCAATTTGTTCCAATCAATTTAAGATAACCAACAGACCACATAAATACTCTGGAATACAGAACCACCTTTACCTTTACAGTTGAAAATTGGAAATTCCTTCTCCAATCAAATGCCTTATATAGGGGCCAAGAAATCACAATTCCAAACCAACTTCCCCCTATCCACCAAAAACAAGGATATCGCCCTCCGAGAAGGTGGAAATTTGCCATAAAGTGAACCACATAATGCTTGCCAAATCAAACCGCCTATACAAAACCAAGAAATTTAAAGGGAACGCAGGGATAAGATTAAAATTCCCAAGGTCAAAATCAAACAACCATACCATGCGAGAGAGATTTTTAGAGTCTCCTATTTTTAGGCATGTCAACTATGTGCACCTTACCGAGGGCAACCAAGGGCCTAAGCTTTCAGCCTCAAACTCATTCCTTTACCCTGGCTAGACTTCAACATGCAAAAGAAGCTATACTCTCTCTTGTTTAGCACCTTCAAGGCTTCACCTTCAGTAGACTCTAATCAAACTCTTCCAGAACATCCTCATTCCCTCTTTACCTCCTCTTCAAACATTATCAATAGAGAAATATAATTGCTGCAGGAGTTTCCATTTTTCCAGATAAAACCAAACGATATTGACCAATCAATTTTTAGATTACTTTGGAAGCAACAAAAAGCTCTTGCCACTAGCACTATCAAAAAATTTATTGTAGAAAACAAACTCAAATTGCATATACCACAAATCAATTCCTACTAAAATTCCATCACCAAAATCCAAAACCTGCCTCTTTCAAGAAAATATGTTATAATTTAAAAGGATCTAAGGTTCTCATTGTCGTCCAACAATTCAACTAGAACAAGTATACAGATCTAATCATTCATTACGTAGAGTATCAAAAAGTTGTCTGAAAAAGATGGCCACGTACCTATGGTTATTCGACTCATCCAAATTTCTTCCCAATCCAAAAAATCACCAAAAACAGAGGAGAGGGGAATCGTTTTACCCAACAAGTTTAATGCATTAATAACTATATAGAAAAGAATTCCAGCTATGACATACAAGAACCATGTGCTGTGAGCTCTACTTCAAGCATAAAAGTAATACCTGTACTTTGGTAATTGTAGAAAGAAAAGTTTATTATGATTTCCGGATAATTCTTTTTCTTTTTTTGATAAGTAAAGATTGTATAAAGAAGCGTTCAAAAGGGGAACGCATCCCTCAGAAAATACACAAGACCTAATAGGGCATCTAAACTCTCAGAGAGTCCGGAAAATTCTTGACTTTAAGTTATGTAAACCCATTCTCTAGCCTAACTCCAGCTCTCTCTCTCAATCTACGCCCTAGTTACTTACAAAAACATGTGAAGGAGATCATATGAGTGAATTCCCATGATAAAGAATGCAAAGGATAGAAGAACACAAACTATGCACAAAATAAGGTTAGGCAATTCAAAATAATAACTGAAAACATCATATTTTGTTTATTCTTTTCAGTCTCCATTGATTTGTTAAACAACTTATCCACATACAATACATGCTCTATATGATTTTTTAACACAGTGCATGGTTACTAGCAACAATGATACGAAGCAGATTGTGATAACCATTTAAATTCGCAATTGGCCTAGGCCTATCATAATTTTTGAAAATTAATCATGCCCTATTCTAACATTTTTAACACACATATAATCAATAATGATTTAAATAATCAATAAAAATATAAATGAAGTTTATTAAACTTTGTAAACATTATTCAAAGGGAAAACTTACACTAAAAGGTAACCGCAACTATAATAATATAGCCGGCCATGAGGATCTATTCCCAATAGCTCTGCTCCTCGAAGTGACTTTCCCAGTTTCATCCCGGGCTTATCTTTGCCAATCATGCATTCAGGGCAATACCAATCACCCTCTGGCAAGAGACCACTGGCAACTCCCACACACTTTGAATGATAGGCTGCCGGACAACCATCACAGCATATTAAGCTCCCATCCATCTTGCAAAGACAGCATTCATCACTGTTCCAGTCTGTGGTTTCATCAATCACCTCATCAGTCAAGCAAGAACCACCTGAAACATCCATATGGGTCCTCCTTTTCTTAGAAGTCTCAATCTTCATATTCCAATCCGAATCCGTACTTAGCTCAGTAGTCATTGTTCTTCTATTAAGCTCCGACCTTATTGCTTCCACTTCAATCACGTCGTCACAGAGACACCGGAGAATCTCAATCTTTACCCATACTGGCTGTTTGTAGTAGTCAATCTCAAATAGCTTCAAGTGACATAGCTCAAAACCAGGTTTCAATCCAGAACCATGCATTAGCAAGTACTCAACCATAAAGATGGGCCACGTGATCAAGTCCAGAAAATCCCAGTTAAGATTCCTAAATGAAAATTTTAAATAAAAAATACATTAAGTGCAACTTAAGGGAAGTTGAAATAACAAAAAATGGATTGATCTTGTGGGGGAGGGGATAATAGAATACCTGAGGCAATTGGAGGCAGATTGGGAACTTTCATCAGAAAGAGACTCTAAATGCTTCCTCAAAGTTTGCAAAAGAGAAACGTTAATAGAATCAAATAATAAATTAGGAGCCTTGCACTTTAGTGCTGCTACAAAATCCTCCAATTCAAAGGGACTCAAAAATAATAAGGTACTAAATGACCGCAAACAAGAGTAAACAGAGAAAACATCGAGTATAGGAACGCCATCCAAATTCAAGTTTTCTGAAGAAGGGGGTAACTGCAGCTTTGGAGAAAGAACACTCGGTTCTTCAGATTCTTCAAGACCTGACACAGTAGATTTTTCCTCCAACGCTGCACCATGTCCAGGACACGAAGATGCATCATTTGCCTGGCATAATGTTGCATCCAAAACATCCTTTTGAGCAGAAATGGTGGCTGTTCCTCTACGAGTGCTTCGTCTCAGCGCTGTTCCTGTTGCAGAGGTCACATTATCTGAAAGTTTCCTTCTTTTACTCCTATTTCTGCCTTTGCATATGCTTCCTGAATCGCCTTGAAAAACATGATCTACTGGAGTGCCAGCATCAGAAAGTCCCCCCTTCACCTGACCTTCAAAAGTCATACTATTCTTGGAATACTCGGGGTCTGTAACTTCAAGAGAAATTCCTTCTACCATTCCCACACATGAATCTCCCAACACATTCGCATGAGAAGCATTTTTACCGTTTATTGGAGTTCCTTCACTGACTTCACAATGAACTCCCTTCTCGGTCCCATTTGTACTGCCAAATCCAAGAACAAATCCTTCTTCCGACTCGATACAAGAATTTCCCAACAAGTTGTCAGTGGAAACGCTTATACCTTTTATTGGAGTTCCTTCACTAACTTCAAGATGAACCTCCTCCAGAGTAGCATTTGTGCTGCCATCTTCCAACTGGGTATCCTTAACAGCTCCACCAATCTCCTTTTGGGTTTCTTCAAGCATGTAAAATGTAGTGTTGTCCTTCATCTGTCCATTGCAGTCAGCATCCGTATTGTTGATCTCTTCATCTAAGCCCAAATTCAAGTCAAAATAATGTTCTTTCTTCTGGGCTTCCACAATAGGAACCCCTGAATCAGCCCCTTTCAAAGTTTCATCGTAATCACCATTTACATCCAAATTCAGATCAAAAGAGGTACTTCTCTTCAAATTCTCTTTATCATTACCATTTAAACTAAACCCATTATTTGAATTCAACTCATCATTCAAATTCAACCCATCATTCAAATTCAACCCATCATTTAAGTTAACACCATCCATATCATAGCTACTACTAGTGTTCAAATTCACACCAACAGAAACAGTTTCTTTCAAATTTTCACCTACCGCGCATTCCTTTTCAAGAATTATTGAAGACCCCTTTTGACTCTCACTATCTTTCCCCCGAACCTCACAAGTCTGCTCTAAACAACTATTGTTCACTAAAGTAGCAGAATTGTTACCTGATTCAGCACGATTTTCGATCCGCCGCCGTTTCTTCGGCTTCCGACCAACCCTCGTCCGCTTCTTGGTGAGGTCGAGAGTTCCAGATTGATCCACCACCATGCCCTCCGAGAGGGCAGCAATTTCAGACAGTTCCAACTCCTCGAAATCGCCGTCTTCGTATAAGATTTCGAATAACCCACTTGATGGGTCGTACGATTTCACGGTTCCTGTGAAAACCCCAAACCCTTTGAACTCTTTCCTCACTGTTCTGCCCACAAACTCCATTTCGAAAACCTAGGGTTTCGAGTAAAAACTATGGGGAATCAGATAATTCGAAACCCCCCGATCTGTGGCAAAAGCCCAGAAGAGAATCTCTTCTCTCTCTCAATAAACAAAAGAAATGTCATTCAAAGAGGAAGGTGTAAAATAATACTCCGTAACTGTAACTTTCTCTATAAATGAAATTTGAGTGCAGATAGAGAGAGAGAGAGAGAAATACAAATACGTGCGCGAAAGGGAGAAAAAAATCTGTAGACTCTAAAAATGCAATTTTTATTTAAGAGCTAGAAGAGGGGGAGAGAAATGAGCTTTCAAAAATCCCAAATATGTATGTAACTCTCTCTCTCTCTACAAATGTTATATAAATATATGTATAGAGAAGAGAGAGAGTGTATAAAATAATGGAGTATCAGTTTCTCACTTTATGGGATGGGCTGGAGAAAAAATCTTGCAGTGTAACGTTTATAGAGTGAAACTTGTAGTGGATATAAGAGGATATATTTGTAGCTTTTGGGCAAATAAAGGTAAAAGAGCGAAGAATGAGAAAGGACTGTTTAGAAGTCTGGTCAATTTATTAGATTTCTTCAACTTGGGTCATTTTGTGGGTGTTTTATTGACAATTATATATATGATTTTTTTTTTTTTTTTTTTTTGACAAATTGCATAAAAAATTTCTTTACTTTAATTTTTGATACAATACCTTTAAAAAAAAGGGTTAAGTGCAAAAAAATTCCTGATATATAGGGTTTGTGCTGAAATAGTCCTTATTTTTCGAAAATATGCATTTCAGTCCACAAAATTCAAAAAATTTACAAATAAGCCCCTCTGATCACTTATTAGTCAAAATTGACTTAAAAAAAAAAGTTCAAATACCCTTGGATTAAGTGCAAAAAAACCCCTCTACTATCGACATAGTGCAAAACAGTCTCTATGTGGTATAAAACCCCCATATACTATCAATTTGATGCAATTACCCCATGTCGCATAAAAAGAAATTAAAACTCTCCCTAATATAAATGAAATAATATTAAAAAAATTTGGCAATGTAAAAAAATTCATGCTAAACAAATATAGAATATAACCACTATTAATTTTCATCTAACCAGACCGAGCCTAAAAATTTCAAAAATTTCAATTAATTTAAGAAGATTAATTTTTATTTTTGAATTTTTTTTCTCACATAAATTTTATACTAATAGTTACAAAATTCAATATTATCCAATTAAGATCATTAACCTTAAAATAAATATATTTAAGATATTCAATAAGTAATGACAACACTATAAAAAATTAATTACTAATGAATTATGAACTAAATTAAAGATATATTAAAAAATATAACTTTATTCATCTCGATTGTTACAGTAAAGTGGATTTTTTTCTTCTTTTTTTTTTTACCCACTGTAAAGTTAAACTAACTGATAATTTTCTAACAAATAATGCATTTGGTTTATACAGTAATTATGATAAATTTCAAGGATAATCACTGATCTTTATTTTTGGAAATTAGAATCACTGTAATTTCAAAATTGCATGCATTTGCTCACTTTACGTTTTCAGGGGACCCAAAAGGGTGCTATGGGTCCTACTTTCTTCAACTCGAGGGTAGTGAAACAACTTTTTCCGTACAAACACTCATCGGCCTAGTCTAATATGGATTTTTAAGAGGAAATTATGGTATACACAAGTTTTTTTAAATGAGGATAAAATGTCATGTCTTTTTTTATTATTTATTTTATGTCAATTTTGATCAAAAAGTGGTCAGAGGACTTATTTGCACCTTTTTTGAATTTTATGGACTAATATGCACTTTTTCAAAAAGTATGAATTATTTCTGCACAAACCCTATATATCAGGGGGGTTTTTTGCACTTAACCTATAAATTTATATTGAGAGGGTATTAATGTTTTTTTATGTGAACAGGGGGTAATTTGTGACGTTTCCGATTTTCGGCACTTTCCATTTTTTCGGAATTTCGTTGAAGTAAGGGTATTTCTGTCTTTTCACGTTTTGCGTGAGGGATTGTGGTTGGGTCCAATTACATTTGGTGCATTTTAATTTATATGATGGTGTGATATTTAAATGGTGATGCATTTTATATGGTGTAAAATTTCAAGTAAAAGATAAAGAGAAAAGAAATAAAAATTCGTCCACTATATCAAAAGTGGTCTAGAGACCACATTTCCAACCTTCACTCTCTCCCCCTGCTGGTTCTCTCTCTCACTCTCTTGTTTTGCTTTTTCTTTTCTTTTCACATTCAATCTTTGAAGCAAGATTACTTCTTCATTATTTGCCGAATTGAGGTGCCGTTTGAGGCAAAACGAAGAGCATGACGAGCTCTACGCATGTGTACCAGAAATTCCAACTTTGACCCTCCCTAGGGACTTCGAAAAATTGAACCCATTTTAAGGGTTTTGTTCAAAATCAAGGTAGGGGCCCTTAATCCATGAAATCTTGTACCTTAGTGAGTTAATTCCCTCTATTTGTTGATTAATTTGATTAATTATTTGATACCTAGAGAATTGTTGATATGTATGCATACATGTTGATTAAGTGACTATGTGTGTTAATTGTACTATATGAAGAGCATGTGTAAGAATTGATTATATGTGTTCATTTTGCTAGATTCTTGTTGTTTGAGAGCATGTTATTAGTTTCCTTATAAATTCTTGTGAACTATGCTTTCTCCTAGAGACTGGCAATGGCGAAAAAGGTTGGATCTTAGGTGTCTTCTGGGACGGAAGTCCTCACTTTCTTGCACGGGCAAGGGTTTGTGTTGTGTTTCCTCACTGTAGTAAATGGATTCTTGGGATTATGGATTTGTAGAGTTAGGTGTGTGAGTTATGGGATTCTTTCATGTACGCAAAGTTGATTTGACGTCACAGGATGTGAGGTGTTGTGTAGTGTATGACTTTTAAGGTTCAGGTGTTGTACTGGTTGAGCAAGGGTTATATTTGGATTTTTATTTAGAAGTTCATTAATGTTAAGATTGCAAGTTTGTTATCTTAGATTGTCGTTTTGAGAGTATGAATTGTGGTTGACCTTGAGTTGGCGACGAGATGACTAAGTTGCACCTTTTGCTATGATTTTCGATGAAAAAGGCAGAAACTAAGTGTGATGTTGTTTGGTGACCATAAAGTATTGGTCACAGATTGTGTTGAGCCAGGATGAGGAGTGACCTCTTGGGCTTGGTGGCCTGTTCTGTAATAACCCAGTCATTTTTTTTCTTTTTCTTTTTCTCAGATTTTTACGGATATTTTTTTTTCCGTTGTCTTTTCCTTTTTGTGTTCGGTTTTTCATCACTTGATGTCGTCTCGAGTGCTCTGGAATGATTTCTGAGACTCTTTTCTTTGGATTGACAGCCTCCTTTGGGGATTATGTTATTTCCATATTTTATTTTTCTGAACATTATTAACATTTTATCTTTTTCTCGTTTATCCTTTTTCCTTGCACAACCTCACTTTTTGTGCTCGAATTTGATTCCGGTTTTGCATGCATTCATGATATTTGATTTACATGATAGTGGTATTTTTAGTTTTCTAGAAAAGCACGTTAATTGCTTATTTCTTTCATAAAGTGACATTAATGCATACTTTAGTATAATTATCCTTAACTTGTGGGGTTTTAGTGTAATTAAATAAAGTAATTATTTTTCATTTTGGGGACCATTTTGCAATTAAACTTAGAAGATATTTTCAAAAAGGACCTTTTTGTAATTTTTGAAAAGTGTGACAAGTGTCACACTCTTATTGGTCCACTTGTTGACATTTGTGTGGAAACACTTTGATGCATTAGATGATGACATTTGGAGGGTGAGGATTCACCCACTTGTTGGCCTAGGATTGGTGCACTTGTTGGCTTTGATGGTTGACAAGTGTAGGTGTGGGATAAAGCCTAGGAAGGAGCCGTGGATTGGTGACAAGTGTAGGGCCACAATTTAGTCTTGCAAATATCTTTGGGCCACTTTGGGATTATGGTTTTAAAGGAGGATTTTTGTGCAATTGACCATAGATGTGTGTGTTGACCATGGTGTAAGATCACATAGTGAGTGGAGGATTTCTATTTCCTCCACTCACACTTCATTCATTATTTTCATTTCCTTTCTCACCAAAAACCCTAGCCTCCATGGATGGAGCTTGAAGCCTTAAGCTTTGACCTTTGATATATATTGACTTGGGATGATTTAGATGAGTTTTCAAATCTAGAGATTTAATGGATTTAATTTGATTTAAATTCTAGTAAATTGTATTTTTACTTGTATTCCATTTTAGACTAAAGATATGGTATGACCATAATTTAGTGCTTGTTATATATTAATTTAGGATCATTTGAACAACTTTTGAAATCTAGATATTTAATTAAAATTGAATTAATTAAAATCTACATGATGATGTCTTGCTTATTTTGCTCTTTTGATTTTATATATGTATTGAGCATGCTATGTTGTTTAACATAGATTAATTTGAGATTGTTTGGGATAGATTTGAAATCTAGAGACTTTCCATGATTAGGTTGAAAATCTCTTAAAATGTAGTATTCTAATTACCTTGTGAGCATGCTACTAATTTGAAGTATATTTAGTACTTGTGGCCTCTTAAAATGGTATTTAGACTTAACATGATATAGAATATCATTGATGAGTAAAGCTTGTTTAAATGTATCTTGTGTAGGTATATAGCTTATCTAGAATATTACAATTGTTTACCTTGGAAACTAGTTACTAAATTGAAGCTTATTTAGTACTTGTGGCTTAGAATGGTAATGTGACTCAATTGTTGTAACATATTTTTGCTTTATATATAAATTGCATATTGAGGACTTGACATGTCATATGCTATTTAGACTTGAATTCTAGGACATGGTTTGTGTGGAATCAACCTTACTTGTGCATGCAATGTGGTAACTTGCATTTGATTATGTATAAGTTTTGAACTTATTGGTTTTGAAAAGCTTGTGAGGACATATATTATGTGATGGCTAGGGTTTGGATCTAGTACGGAGACAAGTGTCTTATAAGTTATAAGTGCGCACTAGGCAGTACCTTGTGGATCGTAATTACCCGAAAATATTTGCTTGGTCTAGTGACCGCATGTCCTAGTCTTTCCACTATTTGTTGTTTTTGCATTTAATTTCAAGTTGTTAATCATGGATTACTTGTAGCTTGAGAATTGATGCTTGTTTGGGACAATTGAATACTATTTAGTATACTTGAAGTTGTATACTTGCTCCGTGAGTTTGACTTTCATTTAGTATACTTGTGACATGTATACTTGTCTTATGTGCATTTTGTTGAGCTTAATATACTTATGTTCGTATACTTGATTTATGAGATTTTCATATAAAATGTATACTTGGGTAATATGCTTAGACATTGTGTGACTTGTCTTAACATGGTTAGTATACTTGGAAATGTATGTTTGTATGTCGTGT